CAGTTAGCCTGCGGACGTAAACAAAGTCCCCTCCGGTCTTTACAGAGCCTGCAGCTTTGCATGTCTAGTTTTAGGGTGCAGGAGTTTTGAAATGCAAACTTGGACTCATCACTATTTTCAGAGTTACAGTTAGAAGACCCACGTTTGGAGCTTCAAGTCCATGTGTTAACGAAGAATGTGTGTTTGTGTGTGTGTGAGAGAGAGAGAGACTGTTGTGGGGCTTATTCTTATATAGGATTATTATATAGGATATGGGATTTCCCTACCCCCACCCCAGAAATTCCCACCCCTGATTTTCCCCATACTATTGCAATAGTATAGTCCTTCATAAGCAGTCGTAAGTTCATCATTCTGTTATTTAAATGTGCTGGTATAGACAATGTCAGACATTCCATTGTCTAGATATGTCCAACAGTTTCATTGGGAGTCCATCTTTGATTGGAAGTAGGGATGCATACTGCATTGTATCTTCACATCTGGATATGACAGTCTCTATTACGCCATCGCTATACATTCCCTTAAATGAAAAGCCACGGAACAAAGTCAACCACAGGTATGAAGTTAAAACAACAACAAAATTACAGCACCATGGAGTCAAAAAGCCACTGAATAACCAAGACATGGGTGATGAAAAGAAAACACAAAAGCCTCTTGGATAAAATGATGCCACCCTTGATCCATGAGCCAGTGATGAATTTTACAAGAGAAAAGAAACTGTGGAAGAAATGAAAATGAAAACATAAACACATGGGATGCAGCAAAAACAGGAAAGGGTTACTGATCTTACAGTTTGCATGAAGGCTACCTTATATCAGAGAGAACATATAGTGTTTGTCTTTTTTGGGATTGATTTATTTCGCTAAGCATAATGGTCTCTAGTTGGGACCATATAGTTGCAAATGATATAATTCCATTCTTTTTAACCACTGAGTAATATTCCGTGGAGTAGATGTACCACAGTTTCTTTAATCACTCCTCTTTGGATGGGCATCAGGATTGTTTCCATGTCTTTGTTATTATAGATTGTGCTGCTACAAATATAGGATTACAGATCCCCCTCTCTTCATTTCCTTTGGATATATTCTTAGGAGTGGGATAACTGGGTCTATGGCAGGTTTATTTGCAATTCTCTAAGCACTCTCCATACTGATTTCCATAGAGGTTGTTAGCCTACACTCCCACCAACTGTGAAGAAGGGTAGTTTTTCCCCACACCCATGCCTGCAGGTGTTGTTAGTAGAGTTCTGAATGAAGGCCAACTTCACTGGAGTTAGGTGGTTCCTCAATATGGTTTTCATTTGTATCTCCCTGATGGCTAGGGAGCCTGAGCATCTTTTCATATGTCTGTTAACCATTCAAATCTGTCCTTTTGAAAAATGTCTGTTCATTTCCTTCGCCCATTTCTTCACAGGTTTTTTTTTAAACTGTCCCTGGGTTTGTGAAACTCTTTGTCAATCCTATATATGTTGTTTAGTATGCAAACATTTTCTCCCATTCTGTTGGTTGCTTTTTCACTTTGTTAATGGTTCTCTTTGCTGTGCAGAAGGCTTTTAATTTGATGTATTCCCATTTGTTTATTTTGTTTTTGACCCCTTGTGCTTTTGGCTTTTTTCCAAGAACTCTTTCCCCATTCCTATATCTTAGAGAGTGTTTCCTATGTTTTCCTCTAATAGTTTGATAGTTTCTGGATGTAGATTCAGGTCCCTGATCCATTTAGAGCTGATTTTTGTGTAATGTGACAGGTGGGGCTTATTATTGTTAGAAAAACAAACAGGGAACACTCCCATCCCTTGGTACATTGCTCAAGTGCTCACGACAGCCGGGTCTGGGACAGGGCCAGAGCCAGGAGCTGAGAACACAGTTCAGGCTCCCGCCGGGGGAGTAGGGACCCGGCTGCTTGTCATAACTGCTGTTCTCCAGAATGGACCTTAGCAAGATGTTGGACTGGAGTTCACTTCCAGGAGCTCCCATCTGGGATCTGCCTGTGCCTGGGGGCTGGTGTATCAGACCAGGTATCTCTCCTCCCTCCCCCAGAGTATCCGTTTGTCTGTACCCTGCCCTGGCTTAGGGCCTGGGCTTAACCCCTGTGTCTCACTGAGTTGAAGTGCCATGATTTAGTGGGATAGGCTGAGATTTCCTGGTCTCATAACTCCACGCCCAGCCTCGGCTCTACCGGCTGCTATATCCTGTTTGCTGTGCTGGTGGCACTGCCCTGCTTCTCAATGGCCCGAGCCACCATGTCATCAGTGGGGATGATGGGAGACTCGGTCTGTCCCTCCCATTTCTTACTTTTATAAAAATGAAAAGCGCAACTGCAGGAAGGCAGCCAAGTCGTTCCCCTGGCGAGTGATTAGAGCCACTTTGTGCAGTCTCATGTGCTTTGCAAAGGAGACCTCCAAAACAGGGTGTGGCTGCAGGCAGCATGCGAGGGACAGCTCAGAGGAGAGCAGGCTGGCAGCCACCATCTCCGAGTCGGCCAGGTAGGGCCCTTCGTCCTGTTTTTCTCGGCATCTTTCCTGGGCTCGCTTCCTCTACAACCCACTCTCCCACTCAGAATGGCCAGCTGTGGACCCAGTCCAACTCCCTGATTCCTGTGGAATAACGCAGCCCTGGCTGGGGACAAAAGGCCGATGTACCACTTGGCCGAAGTGAAGGGACTTTGATTTGCTCACATTTGCCCTTTTTGGAAACTTCTCAAGGTGCCTGGGAGAAAGAAAAAGGGAGAAAAACCGTTGCACCCGCATCATGCTCAACCACATGACCCCTAAAGCCACTATGCCTCTACCCCAGGCCAGGGAGAGAGGGTCAGATGGGATGTCAAAGGGCAAGGAAGTGGCTTTGGCACCCTCTGCCCGCAGCCCTGGCTTTGGTCAGTCCTGTGGACCCTCTCATGGTGGCGTTCCCAGCTTTTGTCCCATCCTGAGCCTGGCTTTGGCTGCCATGTGTCATTGGACTCCTGTAGTTGTGAAGGGGACACCACTAAAACTGTAATTTTGCCTCACTTTTTGGCCATGTTATTTTCTGAAAATGCTCCTTCAGTGCATTCATTTTAAATAGATTTTTAAAAGATGTCTTGGGGTATTTATTTGAAAGAGAAACAGAAAAAAAGGGAGAGACACACAGAGAGATCTTCCATCTGCTGATTCACTCCCCCAAATGGCTGAAATGGCCAGGGTCGTACAGGCTGCAGCCAGGAACCTGGAGCTCCAGCCTGGCCTCCTACATGGGCGGACAGGAGGCCGAAGACCTGGGCCATCTTTTTCTACTGCCTTCTCAGGTATTAGCAGGAAGCTTCATCGCAAGTGGAGCAGCCGGGACTGGAACCAGCACTCCAAAAGGGGATGCTGGCATCTTTAGTCGCAGTTTAACGCAGTCTACCCCAACACCCACTCACCAAGCTTCTGTTTTGTTATGGATACATAGAATCAAGTAGCAAGGGGCCGCACCACGGTTCAACGGGCTAATCCTCTACCTCCAGGCACTACCATCCCATTCAGGTACCAGTTCTAGTCCTGGCTGTTCTTACCATCCATCTCCCTGTTTATAGCCTGGGAAAGCAGCAGAGAATGGTTGAAGTCCTTGGGTCCCTGCACCTGTGTGGGGGATCCTGAAGAAGCTCCTGGTTCCTGGCTTCAGATCTGGCTTAGCTCCACTCGTTGTGGCCATTTGCGGAATGAACCAGCAGATGGAATCTCTCTCTGTGTAAATCTGCCTTCAAATAAAAATAAAATAAATCTTTAAAAATATCCAACAGCAAGCGTACCATCACTTACCTAATGAGCCCTCCTTCCTGGGCACTTAGATTGCTCCTAGCTCTGTTTGGATTTGCATTTCAGACAATGCTGGGGTAACTTTTGGGTGTGCTCACCTTTGGCCGTGTTCTAGACTCACAATTCATGCCCTTGGGGACACTGGTGGAGAAGCCAGGCTGTGCCCACACAGCCAGTGCAGCTATAAATAGCTTCCCTGGTTGCTATAAGCTGACAGACAGCTCAAACTGCAATGCAGGAGGAGCTTGGCCTGGGCTTAATGGGATTTTAATCAAGTCACACAGCAAAACCTGCTGCTTGGCATCCCCAGCCCAGGGTAAGGCGAGGGGCAGTTGCACAGAAGGGCGTAGTTTGCTGGGTGACCTGTGTCAGAGGCAGGCGTCACCCATGGCAGGAGTGGCAACAGGGTTTCGTCTCAGGCCTGAGTCAGCTGATTAACACCGAGTGGTGGTTGGGTGGGAGGCACTGCTGGATCAGTCAGCTTTCTGTTTCCATAAGGAAATAGCTGAGAGAGGCTGGTTGCAAATGACAGGTGGTTTATTCAGCACACATTTTTTTTAGGTTCAAAGGTGAGGAAGTCATGCTGTGGGCTCCGACCAAGGCCCCCTGGAAGGTGTGCAGAAGGCTCGTCGGTGAACCGAGAGGCAGAAGGCCTGGGCCCATGCCCAGGCTCTTATAGCCCTTGGCTTCTGAACAGATGACTGAAGGACCTCCCACTAGACCTGCCTTCTAGAAGCTTCTCCATCTCCCAATAACACTACCCCAGGAATCAAACCTTTAACACATAGGTCCTTGGGGTCATTCAGCATCAACAACGTGGACCTCAGCCCACCAGCTGAGGACTGTCCCACACCCAGATGTTGGTCTCAAGTGGGGCTCAGGGCTGCTGTGGGCTTGGCCGATGCCAAAAGGTGTTTGTTAGGTTGAGGCCTCCTTGGCAGGTTCCCACTGGAGCTCAACTGTGGGTCTTGAGAATGCAGACCCTGTGTTTGAGATTATTTGGGGGGGGGCTGTGAGAAAAGAGGCCCGTGCCCCCAGCTCCGTGGTGAGGGGAGGCAGAGCTGTTCTCCTTTCTAACACATTGCCCTCCTGGGAGTGCCAGGACAGTGCTGGGCTGGGGATAGGCCTGTCCCAGCTGTCTGTGCTCTGCCCCATGTGTCTGCCTGGGGACCTCTCTGTGGTCTCTGCCCCCTTGCCCGTGTGTGCCTGACCTCCGGTGGTCCTTGCTCAGCCCCTGCAGGTGCCATGAGTGAAGAGGACTTCCACAGGAGCGTGGCGGATGCCCAGGAGTGGATGAAGGCTGTGCATGAGCGGCTGCACGCTAATGACAACACCCAGGGGCCCCGGGCGGCCCTGGAGGCCCGGCTGCAGGAGACGGAGGTATGCAGAGGTGGGAGAAGGTATGCTGTGGCATGGCCCCTGGGAGCAGTGTGGCCTCTTCCTCTGGTGTTCCATCTGCTAAGAGAAAAGAGTAGACTAGATGCACATTTTGCGCACTCTGATGTTCTCTTCAGATCTCCTGGGGACTTTGCTTGAGTGTGTTCTGATCAGGTAGGTCTGGGGCAGGCCTGAGGATCAGCATTCCTGACAGGTTCTGAGAGATGCCATTGCTGCTGGCGCCTGGACCACATCCTGATAAGGGACTAGTACCTGTGCTCTGGGCCTCCCCACCTGGCAAGGGTGGGAGGGCTGCTCTGCAGCTAAGGTGGCTCCTTATCTCCAGCTGGCCCAGACCTGGCTCCTGTCCCTTTTCTGTCTCTGTGGAGCTGGGATCCTTGCGGGATATGGGTAGGCCCAGGCAGGTCTGAATTTGGAGTTGGGGAAGTGACTCCTGTACTTCTCAATGCCCACCCACCTGATTTAGGGCCTCGCTCCTCCTGTGGCAAGCCTGTCCTCTCACTGGGCTCTCAGCTTGGCATCCCTGAGTGCTTTTCATTTTGTGCACCTAAGAACAAATATTTCATGCCGTTTTTTTTAAGTCACATTAAAAGTGATTTTTTCCCCCTATTTTCCATCTGCCGGTTTACTCCCCAACTGGTTGTAATGACTGGAATTGAGCCAATCCAAATCCAGGAGCCAGGAGCTTCTCCGGGTCTCCCATGTGGGTGCAGGGTCCCAAGGCTTTGGGCTATCCTTGACTGTTCTCCCAGGCCTCAAGAAGGGAGCTGGGTGGGAAGTGGAGCTGCCGGGACACAAACTGGAGCCCTTATGGGATGCCAGTAATGCAGGTAGAGGTTTAACTTATTATGCCACGGTGCTAGCCTCTATCTTATGCCAAGCTCACTTCTTGCTCTTGTTGATAGAAAACCTCCCAGGTGTTCTATGGCTGAGCCTTTTGTCTGTACTTGGGATGCCTTTGTGTTGGGGTGCAGGTGTGCCTGTCAGTCAAGTGGATCCCCAGGTTTCTCCTGACCGGACTCAGCCCTAGCTGCTCACTTCCTCCACCTATGGACCCAGACCTGAATCCTCCCTTTCTGGGGTATATCATATAGAACTTTCTAGAACTTTCTATCCTTTGCTGGGTGTGGGGTGGGAGTCTTTAGGAAGAGCTTTCCCATGATGGGGGAAAGAGTTCTGGGAGTGGATCTGGAGCAGAGTCTGAGTAGAGTGTGTGCGGGGGACCCTGCATGGCTTCTTGCCGTGGGGCTCAGGCATGTTCCATGTTCTGCATTGCAACACCAAGTTCACCCAGAGAACTCCTGCCATGTGGGGAAGAGGAGCTGCCAGGGCCCTCCCCTAGCCCGTCTGCCAACAGTGGCTGCTCCCTGGGGACTCCTCTTCCCTGGCTCAGCTAGTGCATCATCTGCAGACAGGGGGACCACGTACTAGGAGAGGTGGGGCTTGTGTGAGTGGGTCCATGGAGAAGGAGGGGACTCATCATCTGTGGAGCGCACCAGGAAGTCCTGGACTCGTTTCTTACCCTCAGGGCCCTTAGCAGGTTGCCCAGGGTCACAAGACCAGCGGGTGGGCATAGGCACTGCACCCGACCCCAGCCGCGCTGGCCTCCAAGCCCTCACTCCCTGCTCTGCCTCCCTGTCTTCGTGAGGTCATACCTGGGTGTGTTTTGTTCCCGTGCTCCTTTTGTGTCCACACAGAAAATCTGCCAGCTGGAGCCCGAGGGGCGTGTGAAGGTGGACCTGGTGCTGGGGGCGGCGGAGGCCTTGCTGGCGAGCTGCCATGAGGCCCAGAAGCCTGACATCCTAGCCCGGCTGAAGGACATCAAGGCCCAGTGGGAGGAGACGGTCACCTACATGACTCACTGCCACAGGTGAGGGGCCATTGCCGGGCACCTGGCCACAACCTTCCCTGCCTACCCCCAGGCTGGTCTCGGTCCTCTGCCCAAGGGACAACTCTCCAGTGCTGGGGTTCCTGGGAGGACCATGTTCCCCCAGGACCCAGGTCAGCCCTGACACCTCTCTCTCCTTTTGTCAGGCTCCGTGTGCTCTGAGCACTGCAGCCGGGGATCTTGGCTACACCAGGGAGCCTGGTTGGGGCTGCAGGATAGGACCCCTTGAAGGCTAGACTTTAGACAGAGAGGACAGCCAATGTCACAGGTTTGGCACGTGTCAGGAGCTGCCTCGTGCAGAACCTTCTCCATCACTGGAGAAGCAAGACCACGAGCAGAGGTGGGCACTAGGACTGTACAGAGTTTATGTCTTCCCAAGCCCTTTCACCTCAAGTCCCAGACCTGATAGTCTGATGTCGGCTGGGCATGGGGCTATGGTCATGTTACATTTCAGGTGAGGGCAAGGGCATTTATGGGCACAGTTACCCATGAGGTCATGGTGCTCCTGGAACCCAGGTACAGGTGCCTAGCCCCTGCACCCTGTGGGAGGCAACAAGCCCACAAGTCCAGTGGATCTCAGCCAACTGCGGGATCTGGTCCCAGCACTAGTTTCTCCTATTAGTTGCATTCACGTGCTAAGGGCCTGGGGCTGCTGTCTTCAGAATCCCAATGTCACAGGGCAGTGTGGGAGTTTGGGCTCTGGGTTTGGGCACTGGTGGCTAAGAGCTTGCCAGCTGTGAGCAGGCTGCTGGTTGTCAGGATGGACTTGAATCCAAACCCCACGTAGGAGCGTAGGAAGGAGAGGGTGTCCCCAGCTGCCCGGGTGACTCGGAAATGCAGAGAGGATATTGTCATGGCCGCTGTGCTGGGGAGGGGTGGAGGCCTGGGTCCTCACGGTCTCGCCGTCTCTGCCCTCAGCCGCATCGAGTGGGTGTGGCTGCACTGGAGCGAGTACCTGCTGGCCCGAGACGAGTTCTACCGCTGGTTCCACAAGCTGACCGTTACGCTCGAGCCCCCTGTGGAGCTGCAGCTGGGCCTGCAGGAGAAGCGGTGGCAGCTGAGCCATGCCCAGGTGCTGCTGCAGAACGTGGACCACCAGGCCGTGCTCCTGGAGCGGCTGCTGGAAGAAGCAGCCTCGCTGTTCCACAGGATCGGAGACCCCAGCGTGGACGAAGACGCCCAGAAGAGGATGCAGGCCGAGTACGATGCAGTGAGGACCAAGGCCCAGGTGAGCCTGGGTGGCTTCTGGCCTCTCTTAGCCCTCCCCTCCTCATGTCCAGCCACCAGCTGCCCACACTCCCTCCTCCCGTCCACCCTCCTCCACTGTTCACCCGTCTACATTCCACTGAGCTAGAACCCCTGTTCTTTACTCACCGCTGGCACCTCATCTTCCCCCGCCCTGTCTGCCCACTCTCCTATCTTCTTTGCAGCATCTGTCTGCCTCACCACCAGCCAGTCTCCTCCTCAACTAATAAACAGTGTAATCACTCCCTCCCCTGGGTGTCAGCTCGTTCACCCGCCCATCCACCCACCCACCCACCTCTGCCCGCCTAGCTCCTTACTCACTGTGTGCTCTCACCGTGCGCTGTTCTGGTCATCTCTCGGCCACCTGACAGCTCACCTGCCCATCTTCCATCTACCCATCCCATCACCCTTTTACCCCCCCCGTGCACACTGTCATGTCTGCCCCACACACCTGGTGTTTGTGGTGTCTTATACACAGGGGTGCATGTGCCCTGGCCGGCTGGCAGAGACATTGTGCGTTCTTTCCTACCCAGCCTCCCTCCCCTCTCCCCCCTTCCTCTGATCACCCCCCAGTCCCTCTGCCGGGGTGTCTTCCCTGCCTCAGTCTTGTCTTGACTCCTAAGCAGTTCAAGAGCAATTCAGAGAAACCATTGTTTCTTCTAGAAGTTCTATGCGTCTCTTTATCACATCCACTTGCTGCCATGCTAGTTCCTCCCAGATAGAATGTGGTTTGTCATTCTGAGTTTGTCTGTTGTGGTTGGGCCCTCGGCTCCAGGGACTGAAGTTCTAAGGTCCCTATTGCTGTCTGTTCTGTCTCCTGATTGGGTTGTTAGTTCCTTTAGGGGATTTGTCCCTTTTTTAAAAAAAGATTGATTTTTTAGAAAAGCAGAGTGACAGAGAGACAGGGAGAAATAGAGAGATCTTCCATCCTCTGGTTCACCACGCCAGTGGCTGGGCAGGATAATCCAGAAGCTTCATGTGATTTTCCCACATGGGCACAGGGTACAAGCACCTGGGCCAGCTTCTGGTACCTTCCCAGGCACATCAGCTGGGAACTGGGTTGGAAATGAAGCAGCTGGGACTTGAACCATCACTGATTTGCTATGTGGGTAACTCTCAGGCAGCAGCTTAACATGCTGTGCCACAATGCCGGCCCTGAGGCTTTGTGACTTTGAACTGTAAATTCATCCTGGGCTGGGCTTTCCCTGCAGGGTCCTGGCTGGGCTGGGCCCTGCCTGTGGGCTATGCATGAGCTCCAGCTTAGCTCTCCTGGCCACTAACCCTGAGAATTCCGAGTTCTGTGCCAGTGTACCCACTGGGGGAGTGCTCTGAACTTGAACCGCATGCTGAAATCACATAGTTGGTCCTGGCTCTGTGTTTCCAGTTGGTCTGTTGATGTGCAGCCTAACACAGCAGCTTCCTTCTTGTGTTTGTGGAATGTTTGTTTTCTACTTTACTCTTGAGTTTGGGGGGAGTTGAGGCGGCCACTTGAAGAGTCCTGGCTCTTCAGTGCTCTGTGTCCTCTGGGCCCAAAGTCTGACCTCCGCCCCAGCCTGAGCCCTGAGCCCTAGTCACATGTGTGCATCTAGCAGCCTGGTCTCTGTGACACCTTCACATGTGGTCCAGGGGATGACCCCTCAGCTCAGGGGATGTGGGTGCTCTCTGAAATGATGTGAATGCATTATCCCCAGCTGTTCCGGCTGGCTACAGTGGGCAGGTGTGCAGGGTTTGTAGTCGATGGGGTGCTGCAGCCAGCGTCCCCTGGCTTCTTCCTGTTTACTCATGAAGGGAATCCAAGCTCCAGAGAAACCAGAGGGAGGGAATCCCTCAGGAGCCAGACCCTCGCTTGGGAATGTGTGGGAAGGGGCCTGGAACACAGACAGCACCAGGGCTTCCCAGCTGGTGGCCTTGGTGCAGTTCACCTCACCTGTAAGCAGGCTGGAGGCTGAATGAGCCACTGTAAGCCCTTTGAAAGCCAGCAGGCATGCTCTCAATATAAAGGCTGCTGTGTACTCACAGTAGCAGTGGAAATAAATAGCAGCAACAACCGTGTGGGCACACAGCAGGTGCACAGAGCTATTTATTGAAGGAATGAAACCTCCACGCCTGAGGCAGTTTGGGGCCCCAGGGTCGGGGGGTGGGAGAGAGAACAGCAGGAGATTCCCCAGGCAGCTGCTCAGGGGCCGGAGGGCGGGGGGAGCAGGGTGGAGATGGGTCTGCTGGGTCCTTGTGGCCAGGGCGGGTGGGACGGCTTCCTTGGCAGCTTCCTTGTCCTGACTCGGTAGGCAACAGGTGCGGTAGAGCAGCTGAGACTCAAACTGGCGCCCATATGCGATGGGCTTGTGCTAAACAGAGAGCCCAGGACGTCTTGTAGAGGCAGGGGACTGGAAGTGGTTGGTTCAGGCGTGTGCATGCACACATGTATGTATTTGGAGGGCATTGCCATGGGTGCTGAGTGGCTGCAGATTCCGGCCCATTTGCAGAAATGGTCACCCCATAGAGTCTCAGTATCATTCTAGGGACTCTGTGTTCGCATGATCCGGAAAAGCAGAGCAATTACTTCTTAGCAGAGAATGCAGTGAACCCCAAACTTTTCCAAACTATACTCTCATTAGAACCTTCACCTTTTGTATATTTGTTTTGTTTGAAAAGCAGAGAGATGGAGACAGGCAAGCAAACCACCTGCTGGCTGGCAGGTCTGTGAGAGTTGGGCTCATTGGTTTTTATGCTGATGCTCCATTCTCTGGATGGCTGCATCATGTCCTCCCCATCAACACCCTGGCTCGTGGGCTGGGCCGTGGATGGTTGGTTTGTTTGGTCTGACGCAGAGGTGGAGCCCACCCATTTGTCACCCTGCACCCACAGCTCTGAGATGACCACGCCTGGCACACATCGCAGCTGGCTTCCTGCCTGGCTGGCCCGCGTGTCGCACGCCTGCTCCCTGTTGCCGGGACTTTTATTTACTCTGGACTTGGCCAGTGCCAGCACTTCATTGTTCACACACGCTGAGCCGCACCCGGGCCACACACAGGGCCCGCTTGCTCCTGGCCATGTATTTCATGGAGGGGCCTTTCCTGGGACTGAAGATTGCCTGGGGGGTAGCTTTTATTTATTTCCATTTTATAAGGTAGAAAGAGACAGAGAGAGAGGAGAGAGAGAAGAGAGAGAGAGGAGAGAGCAGAGCATTCCCACCTACTAGTTTACCTCTCAATCAGCTGTGACAGGTGGGGCTGGACCTGGCTGAAGTTGGGAGCGGGGTGCCCTATCCGGGTTTGCCCTTGTGGATGACAGGGACAGAAGCATCTGAGTAATACCTGCTGCCTCCCAGGGTGCACATCAACAAGAAGCAGACTGTGGAATCAGGCATGTGGACATGGGGTATGGGTGTGCCAAGCACCTGCTTAACCACTGGGCTGCACTTCCACCCCTTCTGGGAGGGCACTGGAAGGTGCAGCCAGCGAGGGATCCCGCTGACGCTGCAGCACCAACCTCGGGCATCGGCAGCAAACACAACGGGCTTGGTGCCTGATTGTTGGTCCACTTTTGAATTTAAGCATCACTCGAGCAGTTAAAATTTCTGAAAAATATTGACTCATTTGAAAGTGACAGAGAAGAGAGAGAGATCTTTCATCAGCTGGCCCACTCCTGCAAAGGATGCCATAGCTGGGGCTGGCCATGCCAAAACCAGGAGGCAGGTACTCCACGCAGGTCTCCCACTTGGGGGTCAGAGGCCCAAGTACTTGGGCCATTTTCCACTGCTTTCTAGTGCAATCACAGGGAGCTTAATCCGAAGCACAGACATGAACCAGGCACTCTGCTATAGCCTGCAAGTATCCCAAGCAGTGGCTTAGGCTGCAGTGCCACAGGTCCAGCCCCTGGCCCCCAGATTTCGAGTCTCTGCTAAAGGGCTTGATTCTAAGACTTGGCTTCCCCATCTCTTAAATGGGAATGTTTTCTTGTTTTGATGCTGCTGGTTCTAAAGATTTATGTTTATTATTATATATTTTTAATTCATTCACTTCTTCGAAAGGTAGAGAGATAGAGATCACCTGTTTGTCAGTTCACTGCCCAGGTGGCCACAGTGGTCATTGCTGAGCCAGGACGCAGTCCCTCTGTCCTGGTCTCCCAGGCGCGTGGCAGGGGCTCAGGTAGATGAGCCATCCTCGGCTGCCTTCCCAGGTGCGTTAGCAGGAATGCTGCACCAAAGTGGAGCAGCCAGGACTTGAACTCGGGATGCTGCTGTGAGATGCTGGTGCTGCAAGTGGTGGCTTAACTGGCTGCCACACCATGTCAACACCTGTTGCAAAGTTTACATCAAGTACTCCGCATTCCAAAGTTTGGTGGAGAGCTTCTCAAGTGAGAGGAAGGCTAGGAATAGCTGGAGAAATTTCTCAGCTCCACCTGCTCATTTCTGCCTTCCAGTTAAACTTTTCACTGAGCTTCTTGGATGGGCAAGATCCTCCTGGCCGTGGCCTTGCTCCATAGGGAAGGGCCGAGGTCAAAAAGCCATGGCCCAGGCCACCAGGTCACCACTGGTTCTGGGTTGCCTGTGAGCCAAGAGCAGTTTCTACATTTTTAAATGCATCGGAAGCGATGCAAAGCCGAGTCTCTTGTGACAGGTGAAAATGATGTCCATGCCAGGTTTCGGCATCCCTAACTCAGGTTGCCATGGATCCCAGCCATTCTGCTGTCCCTGCTTGCTCACAGCCGGAACAGCTGATGTGCATCTGAGTGGTAGTGACGGAAGCTGTTGGCTGGGCCGGGACAATCCCAGAACCAGAGCAGGGTCGTTAGCCTCCAGCCCTCATGCTTACGTCTCTTCTAGAAGGCGGTGCGAGTGACCTGAGGTCTCCCAGGTCAGTGTGTCCCTGGCTTGTTGTGGAGACCCTGCACTCCGAGACCCTGTGGCCTGGCAGAACCAGGGTGCCATGGGTCCCCTTCCCTCCCGGCTTTGAGTTTTGGTGTGTTCCCAGCAGGGCACCCTGGGCGACTTGCTTCACCTCTCTGTATCTCAGTACCCTCACTGGGGAATGATGGTGCCAGTTGATGGGATGGTCAGTGAGATCGTGCAGGGCTGGCAGGGCAGAAATCCAGCTGTGCAGCTGGCAGGGCCTGGTACTCACGTGCCTCATCCTTTATCCGCAGCAACTGGCTCCTTGCTCACGACGTAGCAGACATTCTGGATCCAGGTCCCCGGCACCTCCCCGCCCCGACCCCTCCATGCACACACAACTCTGGCTGGGTTTTCTGGCCTTGAAGGATGGAAACCTTCATGGCTGGTGAGTCTCCTCCCTCCCCACAGGACCGGGTGCACCTGCTGGCTCAGGTGGTTCAGGAGCATGAGCAGTACCAGGCAAATGTGGATGAGTTCCAGCTGTGGCTGCAGGCAGTGGTGGAGAAGGCACACAGCTGCCTGGGGCGGAACCGCAAGCTGAGCCCCACACACCGACTCTCTGCACTACAGGTGAGCTTGGCCTGGATCCCACCCAAGAAGCCCCTAGGGGTCCATGTGGGGGCAGAGCAGGGAGTGCTCCCAGAGTGAAGGCTGTGGGTGGCAGCTTTTGACTTGGACACAGGACACAGGCAAACCCATGGCACAGCGAGCAGCTGTGATCACTACAGGGATCGGCCTCCCAGTACCAAGAGGGCAGCATCCCGAGGGGGCAACTAAGCCTGCTCTGGCCTCTCTGGCTGTGGCCCTTGCTCCCTCCATCGAGTACCTAAGGGAGAGTATCCCCTGGCAGTTGAGAGTGGCCCTGGGGTGGCACCTGTGCATCCCTCTAGCAGGTTGATTTCTGTTGACCCACTTGTTTAAAAATGGATGGATGTTTAGAAAGAAAACACACATTACTGTCCTCAACAGCCAAAACAGGGCCCGTTCATGGGAGGGGACCATGCAGAGAAATACAGCGAAGCCACGCAGAGCCATGAGGTTGTATTTTGGCTCCACACCGTAGCCAGCCTGAATCTCTGCGTCTGGGATTTAGCAGGGACCAGAAAGGTGCGACAGGCAGGGAACTGCCCAGGCTGGCTTCTCCTTGATGTCATCAGTTGGCATGGAAGAAGCCGAGTAGGAGCCAGGGTTCACTTGCTGGGTGGAGGGACCCTTGATGTGACCAGATCCAGTAAAGAGGATAGGGTGGCCCCTTGGTGTGCTGTGGGCAATGCAAGGACTGCTGGACTTCTCCCATCACACCCTCCCCACCCCAGGACATCGCCCAGGATTTCCCAAGGGGAGAGGAGTCGCTGCAGCGGCTGGAGGAGCAGTCAGTGGGTGTCATCCAGAACACGTCTCCCCTGGGTGCGGAGAAGGTGGCCGCAGAACTGGAAGACATGCGCAAGGTTCTGGAGAAACTGCGGATGCTCTGGGAGGAGGAAGAGGAGCGGCTGCGGGGCCTGCTCAGGGCCGAGGGAGCCTGCGAGCAGCGAGCCCAGCAACTGGAGGCTGAGCTGGGAGAATTCCGGAAGCGCCTTCACGGGCTGGCCCAGGAGGGGCTGGAACCTGCGAACATGGCGAAGGCCGGCACGGAGGACGAGCTGGTGGCTCGCTGGAGACGCTGCACGGTAAGCCACAGACCAGCCTGGGCTCCTGCCAGCTGACTCGCTCCGGTACCTGCTCCTTGGCTGGGGCCACCAGTAGACAAGGCAGGGGTGTGTCCCTGTTTTCTGGATACAGACATGGAGAGTCCCACACTCCCAAGATCACGCAGTGAGTTGGTGGGGAAGTGAGGCTGGAGGGGCATCGGCTAGCCAGGCCTAGACCTCACAGCCCCATGGGGGATGAGGCAGGGTTTCTCTGTGACACAGATGGCTCAGCAGGGGAAGTACGGGCGTGAAGATGATGAGGATCACCCAAGCCGGGAGGGTAGGGCTGGGGACGCCAGGCAGAGGGTGCAGACCCAGAGGGGACAGTGACTGGGACAGACGCCACCCCTACACACTCCGAGAGGCCTCCTTCACTGAGAGATGCAGGGAGGGCGATCTCTCCCATCTGCTGGTTCCTTCTGCAAAAGCAAGCAGGCTGAAGCCAGGATCAGGCACTCAACCTGGGTCCCCCAGGTGGATGGCGAGGCCCCCAGTCACTCACTGCCTCCTACGCTGCACACCAGCCAGAATCTGGGACTCGAACCCAGGACCTCCTGTAATGTGGGCTCCCCTAGCAGCACCTGGCGCTGCCACCTGCTCCTACACAGAACTTTCAGAACAGGATCACCCATCTTCATTTACTGACAGTTCAGTCCCACTAGTCCGTTAGAGAAGAGGTCTGCAAAGTGCGACCCAGGGTTGCCTTCGGCTCTGCTGTGGGCTGGCTTCCCCCAGCCACACCCCTGGCCTGTGGGAGAAGCAAGGGCTGCGCCTGTAGGAGCAGGTGGCATTCAGATCCTCAGTGGGACCGGCGCCCACCATGGGATCCGCTTCCTGGAGCGTTGCTGCCCCCTAGTGACGCCCCAGTGACGGTGGTGAAGGCAATGGCCCCGGAGTGTGAAGGTGATGGGGAATGGCCCGAACCCCTCCGCTGGCCGGCGCCCCTGGCCACTGCTGGGCGGGCTCTTTTCACACCTGTTTTACCCGTGGCCAGTTCATGCACATGGAATGTCCACACAGAGGCTGTGACATAGCTAATGGACTGGACATCAGTAGCAATGGTGTGGAGAGAGCAGGGCTGGTCAGGCAGGCTCTTTCCTGCACACGGTGTGTCCCATGGGCCCGGCCTTGAACTGGGAATGTTGGCCCCAAGCTCAGCAAAGGCTGTGGGGATTATGCCAGTCAGGGTCAGCCTGCCAAGGGGCAGGGGACAGTCTAAGGGCTGGTCTCTCCCAGGAGTGTTGTGCAGGTGGTATAGGTGCCCAGGAGGCTGGCCCCAAGGTCAGGTCCTTGCTCATGGGCTGTGCGGCATGACAACCCCATGCGTGTGACCAAGGACACAGAGCCCTGGCTTCCAGGCTCCTCGCAGGGGTTCACTGTATTTCAGCCGTGGGAACGGGCAGGCTCTGGGGCTTCCACTGCAGCATTGGGGGGAGGGGAGGAGTGCTAGGGGAAGGGATGATAAAATGAAACAGCCTCAGGGAAGGTCAAGTTCTGGGTCTCAGAGCCAGTGTCACAAGAACAGGGCGTAAGTTCCAGGGGTGAGGTCCCAGTCCCCGCCTGTGGTGACAGTTCTCTGCCAGCTTGGCACATCTCCATGCACAGGCCATGCCCCCAGCCCTACACAGCCTCCTGTCCTACTGAGGAGCCTCAGTGGCCACTCATTTCCACAAATGTCATCATGTGCCACAGGCTACGCGGGCGGCCCTGGCCTCGGAGGAGCCCCGGGTGGAGCGGCTACAGGCCCAGCTGAAAGAGCTCCTGGTCTTCCCACATCACCTGCAGCCTCTCTCTGAAAGTGTTGTGGCCGCCATCCAGGACTATCAGAGGTGCCTGCAGGGTCAAGGTGGGGTGTGGGGCTGTGGCCGTGCCTGTCCCAGGGGGTGGACGGGTACTCGGGGCTGGAGCACACCTGGAGCAGGGGCCCTGAGCTGTCGTCTCCTCCGGGGTCCCTACAGCCTAAAGGCGAAGAGCGCGAGGATGCGCAATGCTGCGGGCGCACAGCTGTGGCAGCGCTTCCAGCGGCCCCTGCAGGACCTGCAGCTGTGGAGGGCCCTGGGTCAGCGGCTCCTGGAGGTCACGGCCAACCTGCCAGACCTACCCTCCATCCACACCTTCCTGCCCCAAATCGAGGTACGCAGGGGCCTGCCGGGGGCGGGCGCTCTGGGGAGCCCGCGGGATATCTGAGCTCTGGGCCTCATGCCTGGGAGTCCTGAGCACACAGGCAGTGTCCCTGTGGCACAGGCCGGCCTCAGCCCCGGGGTAGTGGCGAGGAGCCTGGTGTGACCCCAGGCTGTGTCCTGGCTCTGTCCGGGGCTGCAGTTCATTACCTGAGTCAGAGGTCTCTAGCTTCCCCTTCTGTCCCGTGCCCTAGCTCGGTGTCTTAAGTGTGGGCTTCCGGGAGCATCATCGGGGATGAAGCAAGAACTCTGCCTGGGTGAACCTCTAGCCTCCCCAGACCCTCAGGGAGAGAAGCAAGAAGAGCTGGCCACAGACACAGCTCACCAGAGCCCGGCCCTTGGCGAGGCTTGTGGAGTTGCAGGGCTTCGGGCGTAATAAGAGTATGTGGGGATGGGAGCGTGGTCCCAGGCTTCCTGAAAGAACCAGTGGCCTGGGCTGTGTGGAAGACAGCTCCCTCCCCGACGTGTTCCCGCAAGCGCCAGTGCTGCAGGTGCAGCTCACTGGGCAGCAGCTCCCAGGAGCCGCATCCGACTAAGACCCGAGGGCTTCCCTGCCTCGCTGGGCTCTGTGGCTGACACGCAGGCCTCTCTCTCATAGGCAGCCCTGGTGGAAAGCTCCCGCCTGAAGGAGCAGCTGACCGTGCTGCAGCTCAAGAAAGACCTACTGGGCAGCATCTTTGACAGGGACAGAGCAGCGGCCCTCCTGGAGGAGGCGGCGAGTTTGGTGAGGGACAGGGACTTGCTGCATAACAGCCTCCTGCAGAGGAAGAGCAAGCTGCAGGTGAGCCCCGCCAGGTGTGTGCCTGCCAGGTGTGTGCCTGCCAGGTGTGTGTGCCCACTAGGTGTGTGTGCCCACCAGGTGTGTGTGCCTACCAGGTGTGTATGCCTACCAGGTGTATGCCTGTCAGACGTGTGCCTGGTGTGGGAGACCTGGGGTCACTTCCTGGGGTTCGAAGTCCTGTGTCCCATAGTCACATGCTCACTGCATCAACTGGCTAGGAGTCTCACACAGTCCCTCTAGCACTTCCCAGCCACCTGACCGTCCCCTCACAGCCCTCTACGCCCTGTCTACACTGCAGTCCATCAGAACCGCCTTCCGCGGGCAGCCAACTGGAGGTTGGGTGGAACAGATTCGTAAGAGCATGGGCATCTGGAGGCTACTGGTGTCAGCAGCTGCAATCACCCTCCAAAACGACCACGGTGAATGCCCAGGGCACAGCGAGCTGGGCACACTGCTCCTGAGTGTCCAATGATGATGACAGGCAGGGCTGTGACCTCTGACTCTGAGCCAGACACTTGCTAACAGCCTCTGGTCCGTGGTCCTTGGAGTCACAACATGATGGGGAGGGACCTGTTGTTGTCCCTATTTACAGATGACAAAATGAGCAAATGGCTTGAGGCCTGGAGGTGGTCAGGCCAGGACTCAGCCCACACGCTCCCAGCTCTGCTCCCCGCATCAGCAAGGCCAGGCAGGCTTCTTGGCATGGGGTCAAGAAAGGAAGCTGCGGTTCGGGAGTCAGCTGTGTTCCAACAGAACTTGGTTCAGGCCAGCAGACTCTGTGGGGTGTGGTGGGGAGTGGGCAGGTTCTTGAGCACGCTCTGGTGATCTGAGGAGAGGCTCTCAGCCCTGTCAGGCCTTCGGAAGGCTGCTGGGAGACGGCGGTGCTGGAGTGCACGCAAGCTGGCCAGCACTGAGAGCAGCATGGTTGCATGCGTCAGGCTTCACACTTGCGTGACTGCTGGGGAGCGTCCGCCTGCAGCTTCACTCTGCTCTGTCTGCAGAGCTTGCTGGCCCAGCACCAGGACTTCGGGGCCGCACTCGAACCCCTGCAGAGGAAGCTGCTGGACTTGCAGGTCCAGCTCCTTGCTGAGAAGGGGCTGCAGCGGGACCTTCCTGAGAAGCAGGCACAGCTCTCGAGGTTGCAGGTAAGGGGTCTGTGGGGCCCCAGCGCCCCTGCCCAAGCGCTCAGCCATGCCAGAACAGCCCCCTGCTCCAGCAGAAGACGCAGGGCTGGCAACTGGCTTGAACTAGAGGGTTAGAGACACGTGCTGCATACCTCACCAGCCTCTGCCCTTTTCACTAATGGTTCCTGGTCTCAAGGCTGTTGGCACCTCCCACCGACAAGTTAAAATAAAAAAAGATTATGTATTTGAAAGGCAGAGCTCAGAGAGAGAGAGAAATACCTGCCTTGCGCTGGTTCACTCCCAAATGGCTGTAAGGCCAGGGCTGGGCCAGGCTGAAGCCGAGCTGGGAATCTCCCATGTGGGTGGCAGGATTCCAAGAACCTTGGGCATCTTTCACTGCTTCCCCAACCATATTAACTGGGAGCCGAATTGAAAGTGGAGTAGCTGGGACTTGAACCAGTGCCCACTGGAGATGCCAGCATCACAGGCAATGGCTTAACATGCGGTACCACACGCTGGCCCCCCAAAGTGCTGACTCTTGAGTGCAAGAATCTTGTATTTGCATCCTGTTTTCATTTTTAAAATTTCTCTTTAAAAAATTATCCTGTTGCTAAGTCTTGCTAATGAATGCAGAGGCCTTCAATTAAATAAGTCGATGTTGAGATTAAGAAGGCTTTCACACGCACACAGCTGGGAGACAGCTCACCGGTGACTGTCACTGGATGAGGAGCTACATGGGCTGTCAACTTGTGTGTGATGCATTTCGGTCTGATTCTTTAGATCTTGCCAGCTCTGGCAGTGGCCCCATCTGACTGGCCATGTGGAGTGGCCGCCTCTCCGGCACCCCTCCAACCTAGAGCTGTCTAACCGCTCGGCCTCCAGCATGGAGGGGACGGTGTACCCTGCCCCACCCCATTTCCTCTCCTTACCACAGGGGCTGCAGGAGGAAGGACTGGAGCTGGGGGCGCAGGTGGAGGCTTTGAAGTCACTGGTACAGGAGAATTCCAGCCACCAGCATAGATGGGGCCAGCTCTCCTCTGACTGCCAGGCCCTGCAGCGGGCCCTGGAGGTAAGGGGCAAGGGAGGCCTGGGCTGCAGCAGGGACAGGCCCCTATGTCCTGCTCACCTGGGTCTGTCCCCACTCTCCTGCTTTGTCTCCTGGTTTTCTGCCTTCTGCCCTCATTCATGCAACAAGTAGCTGAGTACTTTCTGCAGGCCAGCCAGGGAGGCAGGCCCAGTGAGTGCTTCTGGATGGGAGGTGCTGCTTCTGTTGGTGAACAATCAGTTAGCAAGCAACTGAGTGTGTATGCAATTCTGTTTTGTAACAAAGACAGTGGGGTCCCTGAGACCAGCAACGGCCTGCTTTGTATGTCCTGGCTCCCAGCGGTTCTGCAGGAGAGCGTCCTCTGCAGTGCCCCCTTGTGGCCTCTTGGGTGTCTGTGCACATCAATGCCCCCCTGAGCCCTGGGATCAAAGCTGGAGGACCCATCTGCAAAATGAGGTCCAGCTGGCCCCCCTCTGACTCCGACGGAGCGCTGATGTGCCTACGCAATAAGCCCAAGGAGTGCTGGCTTCAGTCAGCCCAGTGTTCCTGCAAGCAAATACCACCAGGGCAGCTAAACGTTATTGTTCACTAAGAGGTCTTTGCAGGGCAGGCACCTTGCAGGGTGCTGCTGGGTGGGGACCACTGGGTCCAGGCAGGCCTTCGGGGGGGGTCTCTGCCTCTGCCGGTGCTCAGGGTACCCTGGGCCACCACAGGACCTCGTGGATGACCGTCGGCAGAGCGTGCGGGAGCACTTCACCTTCAGCCAAGAGCTGCTGGAGCTGCGGCAGGGGATCGCCGTGCTCACGGAGAAGCTGGAGGCGCACCTGGGAGACAGCGCGTCCCAACAGGCCGAGGTGGAGGTGAGAGCGCGGGGCCTGTGTGGTTCCACACAAAACCCCGAGGGCAGATGACCTGTGTGAAGCAGAGAGCTGAGGGGTTAGCCCAAGATCTGGAGCTCCAGGGACGGCAGCACTCCCAGTGGCCCAGGGTGTCCTGCTCAGCCCGCCTCTTGGCGTTGCCACAGCGGGGACCATGCTTCCTGCACATAAGCTCTTGGGAGTGAACTTTGTGCCAGCTCTGGCAGCTGGAGGCGCCGCCCCTGCATCCCACCGAACGGTCAGTGGGCAGCAGAGAGCCCTGCCCGCAGCCTCACCGCACCCGTGCATCTGTCCGCATGTCCCTCAGAGGCTGCTGGAAGACTTCCCAGAGAAGGAGGCCCAGCTGCTGCTCACCGAAGCACATGGCCGCCTGGTGCTAGAGAAGTCTTCTCAGGAGGGGGCCAGGGGAATCCAGGAGCAGCTGAGGGAGCTGACGGAGTCCTGGCAGGCCCTGCAGCTGCTGAAGGAGCGACTGCTGAGGTGAGAACCACCTCATTCTATGCCCCCTAGACCTCCCCAGCGGGGATGAGTTCCTGGTGCTCATAGGATCGGAGCCAGGGGTTGGTCTGTTGCCCCAGGTGTTTGGGCCCAGCTGGGGACAGGAAGAGGAGAACCAGGAATACCGTTGGTGGGGCAGTCAGCCTATAGCCTGTAACGGCTTGTGCCTCAGTGTCCACATCTGCGGCAATGGGTGTGTGCACCTTCTTGACCGAGGAACGTAGGTATTAAGTCACAGACTGGGCAGGCGGATGCCTCGACGGGCAGGTGCTGACCTGGGAGTGGTAGTGGCAGCCAGAAGTCTCCTTCCTACCTCTGTGCCCCATGGGATCTTGACCCGGTTGTCTCCCCAGCTTCATCAGGGACCAACAGCTGCAGAGGACGGATGTGGATTCAGGGAAGGGAATGTTTTTCACCAACAACATCCCCAAGCCTGGGGTTCTCATCGACCCTGCGGATCCTCTTCCCAGGCATCGGCGGAGGGTGAGTCTGGCAGGTTCCGGGGCTACACGTGGGTGCAGGCTCGGGTGCAGGTGCCCAGCCTGAGGCCCCCGGGCGGCATTCGGGTGGGGTAGGTGCCCTCAGACAGGACTGCGTAGTAGGCACATCACTGTGGTCAGAGACCTGAAGGCGGACAAGCTGGATGGAGGCAGCATATACAGAGCCACTGCGCTGAGGGCTGGCGGCGGCTTCCTGAGGGGTGCCAGGGGCTGAGAGAGAGGAAGGCTTTGGCCCCTGACTGTACATGCCACACTGTATGGAGCCTGGTTCCTCAACTCTCCCTCCTTGGCCCACCATCCAGGCATCTTGTCTGGGTCAAGACCTTCTGAGAACCCCCAGGACATGTGGCCAGTGGCTTTTTTTTTTTGCCTCTGATGCTTGGGCACTCCTGCAGGCGCACCTGCTCGTGGAGGAAGGGGGCAGCCAGGAGGAGCCATCACGGCTCCTGAGGGACTTCAAGCAGTGGCTGCAGTTGGAAAACACCAAGCTGGTTCAGATCATCGCGGCAAGAGCCAGCACCGCTGAGGACCTGGCGGCACGGGAGGCGAAGCTGCAGGTTGGTCCTCCAGACAGGTGTGCGCCCAAGTGGCAGGCTTCGCACCTGAGGGTGTGTTGGCTCTCGGGGTGCTCTCCCAGCAGCTGAGCACACACACACAGCTCGTGCACCGTCTCTCCTCACCTGGCTATCAACGCTGGCTTTTCTACTTTGTGGTTAGAATCTTTTAAAATCCTTTAAATGGATTTGGGAAGCAGAGCTAATGAGGTTGAGATCTTTTGTCTGCTGGTTCACTCCCACAGCAGCCAGGAAGGACTGGGCCAGGCTGAAGACAGGAGCCCAGAAGCCAATCTGGAATCCCTACATGGGCGGTAGGGAGCCAAGTTCTTGAGCCTGTACCTGCAGGAAGCTGGGTCACAGGGGGAGCCTGGACTTGAAACAGGTGCTTGGACATAGGTGGTAGGCGTGTCGAGCAGCGGCTTAATCATTTTTTAGCTCATACCCACTCCAGCTCAAATAGCTGAGAAGAACTTTGCAGGTATCCTTTCATGAATTCAACTTGCTTTTTTATTTCCCACCATTGGTCATTTTACTGCAGTTCCAGGTAACTATTACGTTGTAACAAACCATAGCTGAGTTTGCAGCTCAGAGCTTGGCCAGAGCTCTGCTAGGCGCTTCTTGTGGTGTTCTCTGGGCTTCCTCATTTGTCCTCCATCCACCGTAGGTCATCTGGGTGGCTGTGCTGCTGACAACTGGCGAGCTGGGGAGGTGAGGATGACACTCATCCCACATCCTCCTATGGGCCAGCCCAGGATGCTCAGAGCAGAGGGAGGTCCAGGTCTGGGGTTATGGGAACAACCTCCCAGCTGCTCTCCTCCCATCCAGGTCATGACTGCAGCCAGAATGACGCTGCAGAGTCCTAGCTACGACCCTACTCTTTCCCCTACTAGTGAAGACCTCTCACTGTTAACACACAAGGCCTTTCTCACCCAGACTAGCCTGCCCTCTTTTTGTCCTTATTTTTTGAAGATGTATTTACTTGTATTGAAAAGACAGATATACAAAGAGAGGGAGAGAGAGAGATCTTCCATTCACTGGTTCACTCCCCACGTGGTCACAACAAGTGGAGCTGAGCTGGATCTGAAACCAGCAGCCTGGAGCTTCCTCCAGGTTTTCCACATGGGTGCAGGTGCCCAAGGGCTAGGGTCATCCTCTGCTGCCCTCCCAGACCATAAGCATGGAGCTGGATCAGAACTGGAGTAGCCAGCACTGGAACTGGTGCCCACAAGGGATGCTGGTACTATAGGCAGAGGATTAGCCTGCTGAGCCACTGCTCTGGCCCCTGTCCTCATTTTTGTTTGTAGTTTTGCTATGGTGTATTAGAGACTGGAGTTTCAAAACTCAATTTGGGGTTCATTTGAACTCATGGCTTTGCAGTTAGGGTCTTCCTGGAAAATTCTCTAATGTTCCTCTTACAACGCTGCGTCTTCCCAGCTGGCTCTCTCCCCTCTCTTCATGATGTCTCTCTCCTGTGTGCTTCGCTGCGTCCTCGCTCCTCCTGTATGTCTTCTATCCTTTTGCCTCTTCCAGGTGGCCTCTGGTGACTTTTTCCAATCTGTCTCCCAGTTTACTCGTGTGTCTCATTTGCTGTTCCACCTGTCTGTTGAGGTCACAGCTTTCCTTGTTTATTAGTTGCAGAGTTTGTTTGGATCTAAGCATCGTGCTGTGTCATGGTTCATAGCTTCCAGAGCCTCACTGGCATTTCTAAACCCGTCTCAGCTCTGTGAGCACGGCCGACGTGCCCGTGGGCCGAGGATGTGCAGTAATCCCGACCTCTCAACGCATTCCAGGAGTGCTGGTTCTGCCTCTTCTTGTTGTCCTCTGTGTGTGGCTTGTTGCTGCGTTCTAGAAAATGTCAAAGTCACGTGCTAATCAGAGGCATCTTTTTGTGACCACCAGGGAAGTGGGGTGTTCTCCCGTGGGACCAGTCAACCCAAGTTCAAGCCTTGGAGACCCTTGGGCAGCCGAGATGACTAGAGCTGGGCTGCGGGATCCTCCAAGGTCTAGATTGACTCCTGTCTCACCTTTCCCCTGAGGTGCCGCCTGTGGGAACTCCAGCCCAAGGGGGGATGCTTTGTCCCCCTTGTCCTTGGCAGGACCAGCGCCACTGTGTCTGCCCAGACCTGTGGGGCTGCCAGCAGCACAGCAGTTCCAGAAGGGTGGCTGCCCACAGGGCTGACCCCTCTGGCTCTCATCCTGCCTGGCCGGTGTGATGGCCTAGCGGGCCTTGCAGCAGCAGTCCGACAGCCCCTTTTGTGCAGGGGGAAGCCACACTGTAACACTTTGCAGAGAGCACCACCGGGCTTTGGTGTGCACCTGCACAGATGAGAGAGTTACTTTCCAGATTCCAGCTGCCTCCTCCCCACGCACCTGTGTCGGGTATGATGGGACTGGCCTACACACCGCAGTTGGATGAGGCCGCCTGGACTGACGCTGCCTTCTCCCTACCCCCTCATCCCACCTCCAGGAGCTGGAGGCACGGGTGCCAGAAGGTCAGCATCTCTTTGAGTCCCTCCTTCATCTTGGACCCACACGGGAGACCTCGGAGGAATTGGAGGATGTGCGCTACCGATGGATGCTATACAAGTCCAAGCTCAGAGATTCCAGCCACCTGCTGGTAGGTACCAGGGTCCCTGGCCTGGGGCAAGTGAGCATGATCAGCCTGCCACCGCCCTGAGAGTTCGTGTGCTGTTCCTACAGCCATGCGCTGCTGACATTGCTGACCTCCATGCCAAAGAGCTTGCATGGCAGTCTGTGGCAAAGCTGGTGTAGACACATCCTTCCGTGGGGGCTCTGGGTCCATGGACATTAGGAGCTTGGGATGTAGCCCTGCTGCCTCCCATCCAGGCCCTGCGGCTTTGAGCAAGCACCCGCAGTTAGGGGGCCTGTGGTTCCTACATGAAAGTGATAATGACCATAAAGATAATAGCAACGGCTAGCTTCATGATAATAATTAGCTTCTCAGGGCAGTGTCTGTGAAGGATCCACTGCTGTTACTCTTGTGCACCAAAGAGGAAGCTTGGGCCTCCAGGGGGCCCTCTGAAGACCTGGGACCACCGAGCTCTGCCGCTCCCGGCTCCCTCAGCCCTGTCCCAGCCCGTGCCGGCCGCTAGGTGTCAGCCCAGCCCCAGCCAGGCCCTGGCCAAGCCCCCAGCCGGCCTGGGCCAGACCTGCCCAGACAAAATCCCAGCTGGGCCTGAAGTGTGTTAAAAAGCTCATTAAACTGAATCACCTGCTGGCTCAGGCTGTCCAGAAGACCGGGGCCTCTCAGGAAATGCCCCCGGCCCCTCCCCTGCCCCGGGCCAAGCACAAGTTCCATTACAGGCCCTGCTGGGACTTGAGTCTCACTCACTTAACTGAGGTTTCCCCCTCCCCTTCCTCCCCTTCCCTAAAATAGCAGACGCTGACTTCTCCGGGGGAGCTGCCTGGACGCCAGAAGGTACGGGCCGCCATCTGCCCTGCACAGCGGGAGTAAGAGGGCAAGGGTTGGTGAGCCTGTGGTGCTGGGGCAGAACTCCTGGGCCTCTGGAAAGTTCCATGATGTCTTAGCAGCAGTGGTGGGAAATCAGCTCTGTGCTGGGCATCCCCCTGGCGGTGGAATTGAGGGGGAGCTCGGAGAGGCTGACTGGGGCACGAGGCAGGTGGCATGTGATGGAGAAGGGATCCTGCCATGGTCAGCCTGAATCTGGGCACTCTGGAAAGGCAGGGGAGAGGAGGTGAGGACTCACACTTATGCCAAGCCGAGGCCAAGTGGCTATGCTGGTGACTGATGGGGGGACTGAGGGGCTCGGTGGGTGTAGTCAGGGGTCCCGCCACTGCTTGTTAAACCATGCTCAGAGCCACTCCTGTGGGTTTGTAGCAGGCCAGCAGACACAGGGAGATGATGGGGACTAAGAATGGGGGGTCACCACAGATGCCCCATGGTGAACGACCAGGAACTGTGCTGGGGCACAGTCAGGACATCTGTGTCCCCTCCTGCACCATGGCTGTCTGCTCTACGTGGCAGGAGACAGGAATGGCAGTGTTCAAATGACCCACAAGGCTTCCCCCGAGGGTCCCCCACTTCCAGAAAAGCCCCCTGCAGAATCGTGTTATCAGTGTCATCCCCATTTCCAGCAGGTGCCTGGGTTGGGCCCATGGTGACCCGAGGAGGCTCCAACAGGCCACATCTCCACTGTGCAGTGGCTCTGTGCTCTGCCCTGCACATGCAGTGTGGTGGGGCCTCAGGGATGGGGTGGGGCAGTCATGAGTCCAGCTCTGGGTCCAGTACCCACCGGCTTTGCGGTCCTGGGTGAGCTTTCTGCCCCTTGAGGGCTCATGTACCCCATCTGTAGCATGGGGCTCTCTGTTTGCTTGTTCATTTTCACCTTCTTGAAAGCCAAAGAGAGACAGAGATTAGGGGTCTTGAGGCCCGAGGTCTCTTCTCCAGGGCTCCCAGATGTCGGGTGGCGGTGGCACAATTTCCTGGGACTTTAAAGCAGGAGGGCTTTTAGTTGCAGTAACATCTGTTTGGGCCATGCTGGAAGCACCTGGATGTGTAAAGATTTGAATTTGATGCTGCCCTGCTTTTTAAGCTAACGGGTCTCAGCCTATTTGGCCTAAGGAACCCTGGGGACAGCGTGAGCTCACCCGCAGGGCAAGTGCAAACACAGGTCCCTGGGGCCCACCCCAGACACTCTGGTTCTTTAGGACTGGCGCAGCCCAGGAATCTGCATTTCTGACAAGACGTTTGTTGACTGGGGCACACGCTTTGAAAACCACTGCTTCAGGATGAACCCCTGTGGCCCAGGGGATGAAGTGGCCATGTGTCACGCGGGCCTACCACACCAGATCACTGGTTCAAGCCCTGGCTGTTCCATTTTTGCTCTCTGCTAATGCTCTGTGAAAAGCAGCAGGAGGTAGCCTAGGTGCTTGGCCCCCTGCCGCCCCATGGGACACTTGGCTTTGGCTCTCGCTACTGTACTCATTTGGGAAGTGAACCAGCAGATGGAAAAATCTGTCTCTCTTTCATTATGTCTTTCAAATCAATATGTGCATCTTTAAAGGGACAGAGAACACAGCTGCTCCATGCAGAATCCTCCCTGGCATTTGGCCCGCCTGTGAGTTTTGGCTGTTGGGTTGTACGCATGTGCCTGGATGCCCATGTACACATGCGTCTGCTGGCCTGATGGGCAGAGCTCTCCTGCCAGCTTCGAAACAGCCCATCCATTGTTTTTTCCTCCAAAGGAAAAAAACAAACTTGTCCCCCTGCTACCCTGCGCCCCCAGCTGGTTCTTTATGAGCAGTTGCTTTCCCACACATCACTTCTGCTCCTGGGAAGCGGCTGCAGCCTGCTTGTTTGTGCAAACAGACTCAGTTGGTCTAGATTGCCGGCAGGTGCCTGCACACCCCAGGGCCGCTCAGTTCTCCAGAGGAGTGTGCCTGCAGCACTCAGGTGCGTGAAATGTTGCTTCCAGCACACGTGGGACTGAGTGGGGCACTCCCTGCCCCTCCATAGGAATGCCACAGCCCTGCCCTACAGACTTTCAGTTAGCTTGGCAGATACTTCTGATTGGGTACAGTTTGCTCAGGCCTGGAGCAGACACCTCCCTCGCATTGGGAGCACATACAACGGGACTTCAAAATTTGTGGAAAATGGAATTAAAAGATAGGGTTCGCTGGCGTTGTGGCGCAGCAAGTTAAGCCTCTACACCTAGGGGAGCCTGGAGTTTCCCCTTGGTTGGTTATCGGCCTGGCCCTGTACTCTGGCCTCAAGAAGAATGTTATCATATTCCCCGTGAAGAGGACTCTCCCAGAGCCAGAGCCCAGCCAGTGCCCCCCAAGCAGACACGGGGTGCTCTGAGAATGCGCCGTGGCAGGCAGGGAAGGCCCCTGCAGGAAGCAGCTCAGGAGCTGGGTAGAATGAGCAGGAAGACTGGAGAAGGGAGAATCCAGTATTTCAGGCTAAGCGACGGCAAGGGGCTGTGAAGGCCTTCTTGAAAGCTGCCAGCAGATGGCGCTGAAGGAGGGCAGGGCTTCCTGGCCTCCCCAGTCGCTTGGACGGTGGTGTCTATCCCTGGTGGCAGGGAAGCCAGGGAAGGGGGTCGTCCGGGCTGCCTGCCTGTCTGTCCCCGCAGCCAGCAGCTGGAGGGGAAAGGAACTGCACCTTCATCCAGCACCCACTACACAGGGGGCTGTGCCTTCATTTAGCATCCACTGGATGCAATGAGCATTGCACACACCTCCAGGGTCCCTGTAACCCTGACAGCAGGTTCCCTTCTCCCGCCATGCCCCGGCAGATGAAGGGACTCAGACTTGGAGAGGGTAAGTGACCTTCACAACCAGAAAGTGGTAGAGCCAGGTCAGACCCCAGGACTCCAAAGCTTTGCTTTCTCCCATGTCCCTGTCATCAGTGGCAGAGGAGCAGGCTTCACCAACACCATCATTAACATCATCACCACCAGCACCATCACCTAACCTGCCATTGCTGTCCCCCTCACCTTCATCACCACTACCACCACCATCATGTTCACTGTCACACCTCCACTACCACCATCACCATCATCACCTCTCTACCACTGCCATCATCTGCACCTTCATCACCACCATCATCACCATCACCACCTACATTACCATCAGTGCCCCCTCACCTTCATCACCACCATCATCACCATCACCACCTACATTACCATCAGTGCCCCCTCACCTTCATCACCACCATCATCACCATCACCACTGCCTTCTGCAGCGTGACCACCATTAGCACCAGCACCTCTACCATGACCATCCCTGTCGCCACCACTGTCTCACTGCCTCCACCTTGGAGAGCCCCCTCCCCCACATACCATCCTCACCATTGTCATCCCCGTCGTACTACCACCATGTCATTGTCATCAGCCCTCGTTGCTGCCCGCCAAGACCTCTGTTCCAGGCAAAACTGCCATGCACCCTCTCAAGTCGAGAAAATGGAGGACACTTCTGGCATGCCCAGCCCCCGCTCCCCCTCAGCATCCTTGAGCCCACTCACACGTCCTGGGTTTGTCCTGCAGACTCGGCGGCGGCGAGGCCTTGGCCAACTCTTCTGGAAGGCGTGCTGCACAGCGCTCCCACTGCAGCTGCTGCTGCTGCTGCTCCTGTTGCTGCTGTTCCTGCTGCCCGTCGGGGACGAGGCCCGCAGCTGCACGCTGGCCAACAACCTTGCTCGCTCTTTCACACTCATGCTGCGCCACCATGGCCCCCCGCCCACCTAGCCGGCTAGCCACACGGACCTCGGAGCAGTCCCAGAGCCACCTATGGGCACGCCAGCGGGGAACCTGGTCCCAGCCTGGACAGCTGCAGCACCGCCTAAGCACACATACTGTGTCAGTGTTCCCAGCACCAGCTTACCTTGGATGCAGCGTGGTCTGCATCTGTGTGTACTAACGTGCGTGTGACTCAGCGATCCCGTGCGGCTCCCTGCAGACGCTCCATCTGATGTCCTGTGGTCGTCTGTTAGCAGCTGGGGGGATTCCCAGCAAGGAGCCTTTGTAGCATCTGTGCCTTCATTTGCAGGCAGCACCGGAACCTGGAATGATGACTGGTCCCCTCTCATGGCAGACTCTTTTCCAGAAGCGCATGGACAGGCCTCAGTGCCAGCACAGGAGCACAGCCTGGGCTCTCGTGGCCTGCCCCATGACTGCTGCTTTATGCACAGTGAGAATGCTTGCGCCCCTCTACTTCTGAATTCCAGGCTGTGGGTTGCAAGGAGAAATGGCAACGGCCAGAGGCAGGCCTGGCGACAGCTGTGAGACGTGAGGCGTGACGAGGACAGGGGGCAAGGGGACATGGGCAGGAAGCACTGGACAGGTCAGCTGGTGATGTCAGGTGCAGGAGCCAGAGTCCCAGCCCCAGGGCTTGGGGGCTTTCAGCAGCATGGACCAGGGTGGGTAACCTGGGGCGGGTGGCAGCTCTCCAGCGGGTAGTCAGACTGGGCTGCCTGTGTTTTGTTTGGGGAGGGGATGGCAAGGAGACAGATTTTATTATCAAGATCTGCCAGCTGCCCGAGGTACACTCTGCATAGCATCCCACAGCCCCAGAGGTGGCCGGGCCCCTGCCCTCCTGACCTCAGGCTCCCCAGGAACCCTGAAAGGCCGGGGCCACCTCCACGGGGGTACAGAAACCCACTAAGCAAGCACACTCTTCCCCAGCAAGTTTGGGAAGCAAACTACAGATTCTGTCCTGCAAGCAGCCACGTGGCTGGCTAATGAAGGCCTGAGTGGACCCCAGCCTTGGGCCCGCATCTCCAAGCTTGTTGAGGTCAGAGCCTCTTTCTGCTCTCCCATGTCACAGAGGCCCAGGAGAGGGCTGGGTGTTTCCCTCTGGCCACCCAGTGAGAGGCTCACCATGGCAACCCCCTGCCCCCAACACGAGCAACTTCAGGAAGAAAAGCCGTTCCACGTGGATGCAGCTGTGTCATGTGGATGGCTGGAGGGCAGGCAGAAGATGCAGGGTGTGGACGGTGTGGACGGGAAGGTCTGCACGTGCTGTAGGCTTTGATCCCAGTGTCAAGTCCACTTGTTTGCCTATCTATTTTTTTATGAGAAAATCTCTATTTTCATAACTTTCCTATAAATGCAGCTGTAGCATGGCCCAGGAGTCCAATTACTAGTGCTTTCCACATATAACCTTTGCTGACGCCAAGTGTGGACAATGATGGTTTTGTGGTTTGGCTGTCCAGTCTGTCGTGTCGCTGGGCAGCCTGCCTGTGTGTATGTGTGGCTCCTGTGTTTCCAGAGTGGGACGGTCTTGTAGCACTAAGGATGTGTGGGAGGGGGAGTGAGAAAGACCTGTTGATGCACAGGTGGCTCAGATGGACGCTGTCCCCTCCCTGCGACCTGACCCACACTCCCCGCCCTTCCTTACTCTGCCCTGAGTGCAGATAGGTGCACAGGTTGGCAGGGGTTGATGTGGAAGACAGAGGGCACGTGGGGGTGCAAGGTCTGGAGCCTCCTGGACGTGCCATACTGAATGGGTGAGCCAGGAACAGATGCATTTGTGTGGCTCTCACTGGGTGGCCCCTGGGTGAGCCTGTTGCAAGCCCACCCTACCCTATAGGCTTGCCTAGTGCTAGGTGCTCACTGGAGGCAGCTGGCTGCAAGGAAGTGCAATTTGAAACCAAATTCATGCAGCCCTAGGGTCCAGACTTGGAGGCAAGGGCTTGAGAGGGATCCTACTGCTCATCATGCAGTTTTGCTAGATCTGCCTAGATTTCCTTCCTGGAAATGGTGACTCCTGGGCCCAGCAAGCTGAACTAGCAGGCTGATCCCTGCCCGGCACCGCCGGGGAGATGAGCATTTGTGTTAGGAGGGAAACACGTTGAGGGCCCACGCCATGACTCTGACTCCTAGATGTGTGTGCAGTGGAGCTGCAACCTTGTGTCCAGCTGAAGCCAGAGCACAGCAGAGGTTGGCATCTGCTTAAAGCAGAGCTGGGTGGTCCGACATCCTTCCGGGGACCTTTTCCTTGACCTCGTCTGCTTTGCTTTACAGGCCATAGGCCCTGGTCCCTGCAGGTGCTCAGCAAGTAGACTTTCCAAAGAGGAGGTGAGAGCTGCTCATTTTATGACCAAGCCCACGCCTCTGCTGCTGAGAGCCGGCAAGTCCAGGACAGAGTGCCGGGGACAAGAGCAGGTGCTGACCGTCTGCCTGGCTCTGCCCAAAAATGCAGGGACACTTGGAGCATGGCATCTGCATTGTGAGGTGGCTCCTGCCGTGGCAGAGGCTCTGCGTGTTCCTGAAGTGTGGCTGGGGAGGAAGACGTGGCCAGCAGGGATGTGGTGTGTGTGGTAGTGCAGGTACACTCGTGTGTGTGTGTGTGTGGATGTAAGTGGAAATGTGTGTAGGAATGAGAGCCCTGCCCTCCAATTCAAACCCATAATCCCTGTTTATTATCAACCTGGACAGGTCTGTGAGTTTCCTGTCTTCTCTCCTATGGGAGAACTCAGAAGCAGGGGCGCTTGAGCCCCAGCGCCGGCCTGAAGGTATCTGGCGACCTCTTCCTACCCTTGCTGTGTCCCATGCTTGCTGTGTCTTCCATACCTGAGTCCCAGTATCCCCAGTCTGACACTCCCATTTGTTCATGTGGCTGGAAGAGAGCGAACCACGCAGTGCGAGCCAGGAGATGGGGTGTGTGTGCCTGCGTGTAGAGGCTGTGTGAGTGGTATTTGGTGGTAAACGCCAACTGACTTCCTTGTGTAAACTGCACTGTGTTGTATGCAAGAGGGACCACATCCGTTTTCGTTGTGTTATTTGTGATGGCAAAATAGGTGTCTGCAAGAAGCTAAACTTCCTGGGAAGGCAAGCGGTGTCAAAGCCAAATGACTGTCTTGGACTTTGTGTGTGTCCTCGTGGTTTAGACCGAACCCAGCGGGAGTCGTGTGCCTGTGAGGAAACTGGCTGCCACTCGGCGCCAGATCTTATGGGCACGCCGCGTGCTCATCGCTTGCCGTGTGTTCAGCCATGTTCTTGGAGATGGGTTGACTATTCTTGTTTTATATTTGTTTTTTAAATAATGTATATGCTTTATGTTTGGAAATAAAAAAAAGTAATCTCTATTTTGGACTATGAAGCAGCATGTGGCTTGCAAGTTCTTTTTCTAAAGCAAGAGTTTCCATCTGAAGAGGTGACAGGGAGGAAGATGCCCTGGGCTCCTGGCTGATGACTTCCGGGTAGGATCAGTGCCGCGTTGAGGCAGAGGTAGAACTTGGGGTGATAGCAACACTCAGCTCCAGCTAGAGCACCGAAGGTCCCAGGAACATCCTGTGAAACAGCGTCCTAGTCGCAGAAAGGCTGGAAAATTCTGACATCCGCTCTCCACAGGGGACAGAGCCCTGAGTGTGTGCAAGGTCTAGCAAGGGACGAGGAGGTCACGGAAGCCACTCGGCCATGGGCTGAAGCCCCGTGTGCCAGTGTGGTTAGGAGGCACTCAAGCGTGGGGAGAGGAAGACGAGGCAGACATGAGGGGGCAGTGCCCTCAGGTTCACAGGAAGATCTAAGACCTGAGAAAGAGAGAATCCATCCGCTGGTTCACTCCTCAGCTGACCGCAACACAGGCTGGACCCAGGCAGAAGCCAGGACTCTAGAACTCAGTCCAGTGCACCCACATGGGGGACGGGGACCCAAGCCCTGAGTCATCACTGTCACCTCCCGGAGTCCACAGTAGCAGGAAGCTGGAGGTGGAAGCTGCAGGCAGGACGCCAGCCCAGTGCTCTGATGCCACACACGAGTGTCTCAACTGTGGGGCCACCTTGCAGGGAGCCAGAGAAAAGCGGAGCCCTCAATACTGCATGTTCTAAAGCTTTTTTGGGAATCTGATGGCTGCAGGTGCAGGAGGAGGAAGACTGGATTTATTTTAGATCCGACACATCACTCCAGTCTCAGCCCGGAACTGGAAAGGGCCGACGAGCAGGGATCCAGCTGGTGAGCCTAGGCTAACATTCCTTACCTTGTTAGGACTGAAACAGAGCCTGTGTCAGCTTGCAAGTTGGAAAGGGTATAAAACCCTCCGCCTGGCTTTGTTCCTTTGTAATTCCTCAGGTCTTTCTCCTTTTTCCTGCTGCATGGGATGAAGGCATGGAGCAGATCTCAAAGCCTCTGTGCACTGCTGTTTTTTGTTTGTTTGTTTTTACAATCTGCTGATGTTTTCGTGGGTGGTGGGCAAATCTAACAGAATCATTTTTTAAAAATGCCCACGTGCGCAGCTCAGTTGGGTACCCTTCCCAGTACCGTTATGCCCCAAAGGGGTGTTTTCTAGAATCAGCCATGTAACCTTTGCCTGTGATTTAGTCCCGTGTTCAGATAAAGTCTGAGCCAGAGTACTGCCCTGCAGCTACGGTGAGGATTCTGAGTCTTTGCATGGCCTTGCAGGTGTTCTGGGCACACTTGTTGAGAGATGGTTCTAGAACCAGTCAGGGTTCAGTTGCAAACAACAGAGTCTGTCCTTCTTAGCTTGACGAGAAACAGATGTATACCAGGGAATGCAGAGGCTCACACAATGACTGCAGGTGAAAATTCAGCAGTCGCAACGCGTTGGGCACTTCTCCAGGATCTCAGTTGATTGCTTTTTAAAAGTTTTTTTTTTATTTGAAAGGCAGAATTACAGAGAGCAGGAGGGAGAGACAAAGAGGGAGGGAGAGAAGAGAGAAGAGAAGAGAAGAGAAGAGAAGAGAAGAGAAGAGAAGAGAAGAGAAGAGAAGAGAAGAGAAGAATCTTCCATCATCTGGTTCACTCCCCAAGTGGCCACAATAGTACAGATGGGCTAATCCAAAACCAGGAGCCAGGACTTTCTTCCATGTCGCCATGTGGGTACAGGGGCCCAACAACTTGAGCCACCCTCTTGCACTTTCCCAGGCCATTAGCAGGGTGCTAGATTGGAAGGGGAGCAGCTGGGACTCAAACAGGCATGCATGTGGAACGTCAGCTCTGTGAATAATAGCTTTGCCCACAATGCCACAGCACTGGTCTCTAATTCAATGCTTACAAGAAATGGCTGAGGTCTCATCATGCCTGTTTCACTGAGGAGGGAAGCAGGCAGCAAGGGAGAAGGCAACTCAAGGTCACAGCCAGAAAGAGGTCTGGCAGTTCTCCAACCCCTTCCGTCCTGTGATTTCTCATGAGACCAAGCATGGCCGTGCAACCTGTGTCTCTTCTGTCTGCAACCCAAAGACTGTTGGCTGGAGAACAATGAGCAAGGGTTGGTTGATGGAGCAGAATTAGGTTCCCCAGATAGCTGCCAAGGGCACTGTGTTAAGAAGGATTCTGAGGTTGTGTGATGTCTTGGCAATTGCTTCCATAGTCACGGATTGTGGGGTGGTTTTTGGTCCTCTTTCAGTCTTAGTGTCTTCATCTTTGCAAGAGAGGGACTTGCTGTTAGTCTGGGTCTGTAAACTCCTGTGCTTCCAGAGCCAGGCAGGAAACACAAGTTGGTAGACTAGACCAAGCCCAGAAAACACCACGGAGGAAGGTTGGGAGCCGTGCCCAATTGTGGCTGTGGGGTCTGTAAGCTTTGGGTTACTCAGACTGACAATCCCTCATTCACTCGAGGGTTCAGAGTCTAATGTGAAAATTTCTTTCAAAGGGCCTTTGATTTGCATGCTTAAGATGTATAAACTGTGTATGTGTGTGTACATGCATGTCCAAGGACATGTGTGTGCACATGTGTGCATTCTTGTGTTTGTGGATATGTGCATGTGCGGGAGTTTGCATGTATGTGGGTGTGTGCGTGTATATATATGTGGGCATGCATGGATGTGGATTGTATATATGTGAATATGTGAATGTGTGTATGAATGTGTGTGTTTTTGTGTGTTCCAGACTGGTGTTGCCTAAAGCTACCACCTGGCAAGCCTTGGCATAAATAATGCCCACGACTTCTTCTAACTCACAAATTCTGCGTTCTGTGTAGGATGCAGATCGCAACCCGGGTGCACAGGAAACGACTCTTGGCACCTTCCGGTTCTGACCCCCGTCCCTCTGTCATGAGCCTGGGATTGGTTTGCACCCACTGTGCCCGTGCCAGGCTCACCTCGTTCTGGTGTCGCAGTTGGCTCTCCCCCTTCCTCTCTGCAGCTGAAGATACAGGCAGGGGAGTCTTTACCCAAATCTCAGTTTATTCCTTGGTGATGTTTTGAGCCTTGGGGGTTTTGCGGGTGGAAATTCCATGACATAATCAGCACTCGGTGAGGAAGCATGATGAATGCACAAAGCCTGTGAGAACTTGACCCTAATATTGCATCTGGATGCACTGTGGTATTTCCAGTGTTCCCCAGGATTGTAACTTGATCCTCCTCAATGCAGCAGCCAGCAGGCCTTATCGAGCTAGGCCTGAGACTGCCGCCCAGGGCGGCCATCCAGCTCATAAATTGTCCAAAAGGGCTGCCTGGCTGTCGGTAGAGCTGAGAGAGATGGAGAGAAGTGTCTTTGCCATCTGCTCCACATTAGGAAGCTGTTAAAGATTCCATGCCTGCCACCGCACCAGCACTGCTCTCCCATGCAGTTCCACGACTGCCATAGCTAGTGTTTAAAGGACATCCTTGTTTCCCCACAACTGGAGCAGACTGGTTCAGGGCCAGGTTTGGAGAGAGAACAGGCTCTCACCCACGAAGCTGAGCAGGAAGTACCTGGATTCAGCTGGAAGCTGAGAACCAGTCAGAGCTCTGAGCTCCAGAGGTGGGTGGGAGAGAGAGGGAGGTAGGGTGTGTCCTTGTCTCAGCGCTGGAGAAAAGAACCTAGAGGGGACAGAATACTTTCTGGGTGTCCACCCATCCATCAGCCATATATCCATTCATCTACTTACCCTCCTACCTGACCATCTGCCCGGTCATCCATCCATCCATCTGTCCGTCCGTCCTTTATCCCTACCACTACAAACCGAAGGATGCAAATGACCTCTAAAAAGAGGCAAGAAATTAATTCTCCCTTAGACTTTCCAGAAGGAACCTGCCCTGACAACACCTTGACTTTAGCCTTATTCTTGCTCTTCTAATCTCCAGAATCATAAGGTAATGGATCTGCATTATTTTAAGCTACGCAGCACATGGTGGCCTGCTGTACAAGCTGTAAGAAGCAAACATACAACCTCACAGGGTCCTCGAGAGTGCTAAGTGAGCTAATCTAGAAAAAGCAGACAGCAGAGCGCCCAGCACAGGGCAGGCAACAAATAGCTGCAACATGCAAGGCATGTGTGTCTCCACCACAGCCACAGACACAGGCCTGCATGGCCGGGCCCCACGAGGATGAGTAGCCCGTGGCCCAACAGGCACCTGTTGTCCCAGGTAATAGTCAATTGATGTTAGACCCAGCCAAGGCCAAGAGAACTGCCCAGCTGACCACAGTGGGCTGAATGAACGAGTCTTGTCTTAAGCTATTGGCTCTGGGGTCAGGGGCCATTATCATAGCAATAATCAAGCGGTGATGTTAGCAATCACGTGTGGAATGAACTGAAGATTCATGCTCTGCTGGGCCTGGTTCGGAACTCTTTCAGATGCTCAGATCTCTCACAAACACACCTGATGAGAACCACCGAGAAGCTTGTGAGAAGGTTCCAGAACCTCGCCTGAGTCAGGGAAACTGGAGGAGGTGGAGCTTCAGGACGTGGGCTTTCACCATCTCTACTGGGAATCCCGACATTGCTCTTATTTCAACCTCACAGCCTTTGCTGTGAGGCAAAGATCTCTGTACCCGTTTTATGGGCAAGGAAAGTGAGGTTCAGAGAAACCCATTTGCTAGCTTGGACTCAAGGGCTGTGACAAACCTCAAGCTCTCGATCAGTGGCCAAATGTCACCCTGCAGGGGCCAAAGGCTCGCTTCACATAGCCACCCTGCCCTCCTCCCCTGCCTGCCCTCTAGGGCCTCCTCTGGCCAGAGGAAGGTTGTTCCGAGCTCACCTGAGGCTGGGGTCGCTCCAGGTAGAGGGAGACATGGCAGGGGACCCATGAAGTCTGCTTTCTCTTCCCAAATGGAAATTGTTAAACAAGAGCATAACTGTTTAATTACCCGCAGTGCTTTCTCTTTGCATAACAAGCTCAAGTCCAGGTTCAATACAGAGTGGGCTTAAAGCAAACACAACGCCTGGGCTCCACTCCTGCCCTGTTCTGATGAAAGCCGTGCAGAGAGAGGCCTTTTGTGTTGCCTGCTCCCATGGCGCTTCTGGGCGACCAACATCGCCAGGTGCCTGCACACAGCTCTCTCACACCGCTAATGGCTCCAGCGTCACACATCTCGCCTTTTCACTCTTAAAAGCTCTCTGAGCATGATCCAGAGGCAGGAGGTGACTGACGCATGCCAGTGGCTGCTCCCGCTGGCTCCCAAACTATCCCTTTTCAGACACTCCTCTACCTGATGTCGCCATTAGAGATGCCCCTTTGCCCAGCTTTCATCCTCTGCTGGGCTCCCTTGTGGAAAGACACAGCCATGTGCCGAGGGGCCAGGTCTGAGCAGGGGCTGCAACTGGCCACACTACGTCTATGCGGTCCCCTCCTCACTCAGCTGCGCTCATGCACCAGATAGCTTCCAGAGCCCATTCCCCGGGAGTCCTGGTGCAGGGGTGGCCTGGCAGTGGGAAGAAAAGACCCATGCCTAAAAATAAAAATATTATCCGGTTGTCAGGTCTGACTGGGCGCCTGACACAGAGCAGAGCCATGGTAATCACATCTACACAGTAGGAGC